GCCGCACACGATGTGCATGTTGGCGATCACCACGTGGAACTTGTCATGGCCTGGTTTGTTCACCTCAAAATGTGAAATAACAGCATCAATATCTCGGCCGCTAGGAGGCCTGTAAACTTTGCTGTCTTCGCACAGAGTCAGTTCCGCAGGCTGAGAAGCACCGCGGAACCCCCAGAGAGTCAAGTAGTTGTCGACCTCCAAGAAGCGAATGCCATCACCGAAAGGCTTACTGAGGATCTCTGTCACGTTGATCCCTGCTCGGCGAAAGCCTTCACGGAACGCACCGACCTCGCAGCCACAGACCATATCAGCATCAGCGGTCTCCACTATCTTGGCGCACAACCTTCCGAAGTTAGCGCAGTGAGTGGCCGCCTGCTTACCAGTCATCATGCCCTGCTCGAACCCGAAATTGAACGAGGCGACCGTGAAAGACGCAGGCTGCACAGCGCCAGAACCAGGCGTCTGTCCACCTTCCTCCGCAGGCTGAGAAGCACCGCGAGGCGGCGCAGGCTGAGAAGCACCGCGAGGCGGCGACACTTCGGACGAGCCTCGCGGAGCAGAGGCTGCGGATGAACGTTGGACATGGGGGTACGGCCAGGGGAACGCCATTGCAATCAAAACTCAGTGGACTGCAGTGAATGAATGTAGTGGCCAATTGAATGCAGAGGACTGCAGTGTCACTAGCAAGTCCTGAACCAAACACAGCTGTGGCGGAAGGAATATGAAGCGTCTGGCTATTCAAAATGTTGCCCGGCAATGTCCTCCTCCCTCCTCCTCCTCCTCCTCGTCCTCCTCCTCCTCTTCCTCCTCCTCCTCCTCCTCCTCCTCCTCCTCCTCCTCCTCCTCCTGGTAGTCCTCCCCCTCCCCTCCTCCTCCTGGTAGCCCAGGAATGGGAGTTTTGGGAACTCGAAGAGCACGAAGTGGCCTACAGTTGGCTCCGGGCATTCAAAATGTGGCCCGGGAATGGAGTTCTGGGAACTCGAAGAGCACGAAGTGGCCTACAGTTGGCTCCGGGCATTCAAAATGTGGCCCGGAATGGAGTTCTGGGAACTCGAAGACCACGAAGTGGCCTACAGTTGGCTCCGGGCATTCAAAATGTGGCCCGGGAATGGAGTTCTGGGAACTCGAAGAGCACGAAGTGGTACAGTTGGCTCCGGGCATCCAAAATGTGGCCCGGGAATGGCGTTCTGGGATGTCGAAGAGCACGAAGTGTGTGACTGTTGCATCCGGCCCCCCAGAATGTGGCCTGGGAATGGAGTTCTGGGAAGGCGAAGAGCACGAAGTGTGTGACTGTTGGTGAAAAACGAGCCCGGCTCATGCCGCCCGGAAACGCCCCAACACCTGCCTGGACCCCCCTGTGGAGTGATCTGTGAGCTCTTTTGAGTCAACTAGAAACCTATCAGTCTTCGCTGTTAGGTAAAAAAAGATTGTCAAAGATAGTGAAAATTCGTCCCCAGACTATTTTGGGACCTTTGTTTGAATTTCCCTCCCGTAGAGGGACGTACCGGACTTAAGGCAAGGACCTTCCTGGCGAGCGCCATCTGGACACAGGCATGCTCGCGTCGTGGACGAAAACGTAACGGGCGTTTTTTCTGCCGTTTTCGGCCTTCGGGGTGCCTCGCCGGGCCCCAGGACAATCAAAAAATGACCTATGAGAAACTGGTCCCCTGGATGGGGTCAGGTTCGGCCAGACCATGTCATGATTTTTTGCTGTCGTCGACCCCCCAGGAAGGTCCCGACCCATTTCCCATTTTCTTGACGGTCCTGGGGCCCAGCGAGGGCGTCAAAGGCCGAACACACACACACAAAAAAAAAAAAAATGTCGCGCCATGATGATTTCGTGACCCGAGGGGGTCTGGGGATATAGCCCACCTTGGCATCCACTGATCGACCCGCTGCCCCCATGTTTGAGCAGGGACCGACCGTCCCAGCATCCCTATAGGCCTACCACAACATGTTCTTAGAACCCAAGAATGTTCTAAGAACAAGAACGCTGTTCTCAGAACAGAAACCCGATGTGTTCAAACAAGACAGTCCCGGCCAGAAATGTTCTAAGAACAGCTCGTGGAAACCACGCAAGGTTCTTAGAACACTGTTTGGTAGGCCTATAGGCGAGCCAGGACCCCCCGCCATTGCTTGACTTCTGGCAACCCCCCGCGCCCCTCCCAGTATATCCGCGGTGGACGAACCTCCCTTTAGTAAACCTCCCTTTCGTGAGAACGGCGTGGGACCGAAACCGACGGACCTGGACCCGCAACAGTGACGGCCGCGACGCCCTCCCGCGAACCGAACACGGCCAATTCCTTCATCGACGTGTCAGGGCAGGAGGTCTGCCCCCCCCCCCCGAAACACTCAGGAGAGGAAAAAAAAAAAACACACGGACACAATGAATCCTCGATTCCCCAGAGCATATGGGAAAATATGGGACGTGGGGGGGAAGACAGAAGCCCCGAAAATCTGGGAAACTATGGGGATGACCTTTCCTTGTGTGTACTTATTGGTGTGTCCTGGGGCCCCTCCCAACACCTCGCCCCGCCCGGCGACCGGCACCGGCCCGCCCGCGTGCCGTCGGCGGCCGCCCGGCGGCCGAGCAGGTGGCAGACGAGCGCCTCGTCGCCCAGGCCCGCGGCCTCTCCGGAGGCACGGCCCGGCGGAGAGGCCCGGAAGAGCTCAGGGCACCGGCCCTGCAGCCTTTTTGGGGTCGGCGGCCGCTCGACTATACGGTCTGGCGGCGAGAGGCGTGTCCGGGACGGCGGTGCAGGCAAACTGCACACAGGGCGTGCGGTGCACGTGCACTGAGCAAGATGCTCCACATTCGCAGTGACGCACCTTGCAGACGTGCTGCCGCGGCTTGTCGCGCGCAGCTCTGCCAATGCAGAGAGCCCCGAAGCGGCGAGCGAGATGACGAGGTGGTGTTCGCGCGGAGTTTCGTTCACGAAGTGATATATGCACCCCGAAGCGGCGTCTGCGACGCCTGCGGATTTTGCTTCGACGATGTTGCGTTCATCCCAGCTGACAGCTGGGAGACAGCTGTGCGGAGATACTGTGCACCGCGGTAGCTTGTCTTAACTGCTCATGTGCTTGTCACGCGGCTTCGCAACAACTTTATTCCTGGCCTCCCCCCCAACAAACAAAAAACTCACGAAATCCACTTCGAAATCCAGAACGACATTCTCCAGGACACTCCGGGCCCATCCTACTGATTTCCGAGCGAAATCCGCTCTGCGATGTTTGGCGGTGCGCGCAAGGGGGTGGAGGGAGGGGGGAAGGCTTCTCAGAAGGAGTCTGCTTCTTAGAAGGCGCCGGCCATGCATCTATAAAGAAAGCCCGCGCCTTCTAAAAAGCAGGGGTGCTTCTAAGAAGCCCTCCCCCCTCCCCCCACCCCCCTGTGCGCATGGCTGAAATGTTGGCGCCACGACAGATTCCCTCGCGCGGTGAGCCAAGACCACGACGGACGAAATCCACGACGGGGGAGTTTTCCCCATTCTGACGTCGGACATGTCCCCTGAGGGGATTTTGGCCGAAAAATAAACAATATTCCCAAAACCAAATTATCAAATATATATATATATATATATATATATATAATCGTCCCCTGACTATTTCTGACAATTCTTGAATATTCCTCCTGTAGAGGGACAGGCCCGACGTAAGCCCATTCTCGGCCTCTTTGTGGGGCCCGCCGCTTCGTATTTTTTGCATTGCTCGGCGTTGATTCGCGCTGTTCGTTACTGCGTCGCGCACTGCTCTGCGGCACGGTGCATCCGTGCTCGCCACTGTTCTGCAATCGCGCTGCTTTGCAATCGCATTGCGTTGCACTTCTTCTTTACGTGGATGTGCACTGCTTTGCTTTGCTGGGCTTTGCATTGCATTGCTCTGAATTGTGTTGCAATGCTCTGCATTACTTCGCACTGCTGCGCATCGCTTTACATTGCGTTGCATGGCTTGCATAACTTCTCATGGCTTTGCATTGCATTGCCTTGCTTTACATTGCTTTGCTTGGCCTTGCTTGGCATTGTTTGGCATCGATTGGCATTGCTTTGTACTCCTTTGCCATGCTTTGCGTTACATCGAATTGCTTTGCGTTACTTTGCATTGCCTTGCATTCCTTTGCATACCGTTGCATTGTTCTGCAGAGCTTATCGGGCTTTGCACTACATTGCATCGCTTCGCATTGCTTGGCATTGCGTTGCACTGTTTTGCGCTGCTGAGCATTGATTGGCACTGCCTTGCACTGCGTTGCATTGCGTTGCATTAAGTTGCTTTGCTGCGCATGGCTTAGCATCGCTTTGCATCGGTTCGTATTGCTTCTCATTGCTCTGCAATGCTTTGCGCCATGCAGATTGCACAACGTATATTGTACCACCTAGATTGTGCAACAATGCTTGCACAACCTAGATTGCAATACATCGCTGCTTGGGGCCCACACTGGTCAACACTTGATCTTTCGCGGTGTCTTTTTCGCGATAGCTCCCGTTACCAGCCCCCGCCCGCCCCTCTTCCCCCCCCATGGCCACTTTACGATTCGTGCCGGCGTCGTCTGGGAATCCTGTAGCCACTCCTGAGCATTCCCAGACGGCGCTGGCGCGCATCGTGATTGCCCGTCCCTCCCCCAGTCACGCCCGTTGTCGCCAGGGTATATCCTGGCCATCGCTCGGACGTCCATTCCCTGTGTTTTTTTCGGTTTCGTGCGTGTTTTTTCGCCAAATGATCAAGGATACTACTCGATGGTCCTCGCCGAGGAAGAAAAACGCACACGTCCGAGCGATGCCAAGTATCACATGGAGAGACGAAACACTAAACGGCCTCACGCGAGACGACATAGCGCCCTTGCGCGGCGACTTCCGCGGGCCGCCAGCGCGGTACGCTACCTTGGAAACGAGGGCGCTCACGCGCGACCTTGCGCTGGAAGCTGATGCGCCAATGTCGGCGCAATTGACCACGCCTTCTTCCGTCGCTCAAACTGTCTCTTTCAGTAGAAGTCCTCGACCCCTCTCGGACGCCCCCCGGGGCCTGTTGCAGCACGGCCGCCAGGCCGTCCGCGAACCCGCCCTCCAGCGCCTCCTCGTCCTCCTCTGAGCATCGCTGATTCCGACCCTTACATCCCCAGCGGCGTGGCCTGAACCCCACTGGCCGATCTAGTTACATCCCCAGATGGGGATGCAGAGATCTCCCTCGGGTTTCGAGGGGGGTACCTCCCCAACTGGTTGGGGTGGGGAAGCTGGTTGGGGGTCTGGGTGGGGATGGAGAGTTGGGACAGGGCTCGGTTGAGCGACACTGCTCCTCCTGCTCGCCCCCGCCCTCGCCCTCGCCGGCGGGCGGCCGCGCTTCCTCCGCCAGCTGGCCCGGGTAGGCCGCCTGTGCACAGGATTAGGTCGGGCCTGTCCCCCTACAGGCCGATTTTGGACGAAAATTTAAAAATATTCCCAACTTGCAAAAAAAAATTCAAAACAACTCGTCCCGAGACTATTTTTTGCTCATTTTTGAATATTCCTCCTGTAGAGGGACACGCCCGACTTCAGCATAGGGCTACGAAATCTATACATCCGCCATCGTGCCCCTGGGCACCGTGTGGGCGCGCCCTCAGGTCCGTTCCCTCCTCCTCCAGGCCTCAAGCCGCACTCCTGAGGAGTGCTCTAACAGGGGCCTGGGCCCCCCCATGGCCAAGTCTCTCGAGGCTCGGCGCCGCTCCCCGCCGCTCCCCGCGCGACTGTCTCGGGCCCAAGAGGGCCGGAGGCCGGAAGGCTGGCATAGAGAGCTCCCAGGAGGCCCCCAAGACGGTCCAAGAGGTCTCCGAGTGGCTGAACGATCGCTCCGAGACGCCCAATACGGCCCCTAAGACCGTCCGAAAGGCCTCCCCAGAGGGCCCCAAGAGGCAAAGATCAGTGACTTCCCGCAGGTTCTTGACAGAGTTTGGCGTTCTCACCTTTTGAGCGTTCCGAGGCTCCAAAACTGCCCACGAGGCCCCCAAGACCACCCCAAGACGGTCCGAGAGGCCTCCAAGAGGTCCCCAAGACGGCCTAAGGGCGCCCCAAGACGGCCCAAGAGTTGCCCAAGAGGGCCCCAAGGCGGCTCCAAAAGAAACCCCAAGAGAAGGCAGACAAACCAAAAATCTGTGCCTTCCGCCCCAAGAGGGCCGCAGGAGGCCCCAAGAGGCGCCCAAAAGGCGCCCAAGAGAGCCCTCAAAGAGGACCCAACACGTCATGCTGGGCCCAGGCATCCCTGGCCAAACCAGGAGAGCGTATACACCGCACGTGGGCCCAGGATGGGCCAGGCCTGGGCTGTGGATATGTCCAGATCCCGTCGTCCTAGCCTGTGGAGAAAACATAAATCGAGGACTGACAGATCCCACTTTAGCAAGACGCCCTTTCGCGAAAGCTGCTGGGGCACTCCACATTGCGGGCGGCACCGCATTCCGAAAGCATATGGGCAGAATCGCTCATCGACGTCCACAAGCAAGCGAACGCATCCAACGAAACGCACGTCGATTCGCGAAACCGACCGGAAACTACACAGGCCCACTCGTATGCCGAGGCCGAGTGAACCCGCGCAGCTCTCCTCGGTCGCCTCGTCTGGGTGGGCGCTCTCTCCACGCCCGAAGGAAGACACCGACACCGACACCGTTGCTACCCGACACCAAGGGTGCGCTCTGACCAGGCGTGCGAGGCGAATCCGGCTGTGCCCACGCGGGCCTCCCAGGAGGCCTCGGGCGCGACAGCGAGCCGCGGGGGGCCGCGGCATCCCCCTCCCGAGAGCCTGGAGCCCGCGGGCGTAGGGCGCCAGCCGCGGCTGCCGCAGCAGCGCCGCGGGGAGCAGTGGCTCTGGCAGCAGTTCGCCGAAGGCGCCGCCCTCGGCGGCCTCCTCCGCGCCCTCGGTCACCTTCGCGTAGGTCGGGCGTGTCCCCCTACACAAGCGGATTTTGGCAGAAATATAAGAAATCATCAAAACATGCAAAAAAGTTTTAAAACAAACTTTTAAAAAATAGCCCCATTTGTTGACTATTTTTGAATATTCCCCCTGTAGAGGGGCAGGCCCGACGAAAACCTTCGCCGAGGGCGCCAGCGCGGCGGCAAGCCTGCGGCAGACCCGCAGCGCGGCCAGGGAGTCGCCCCCGAGCGCGTGGAAGTGCGCGCCGGCGCTGCGCACCGGGGCGCCCAGCACCTCATCGAGGAGCAACAAACAAGCTGTATTTAGCGTCAACTCTCAGAGGCTTCGGTCGGGCGTGACCCCCTGCAGGCGGATTGTGAACGAACAAAAAACAAAACAACAAAAACTAATACTAATAAAAAACGTCCCCAGACTATTTTCTACTAATGTTCAAGATTCCTCCTGTAGAATGACGTGCCCAACTTAATCATAGGCCCGCGCGGACATCCTGGATCCGCGCTGGAGCCTTGGCGGCGCTTCTGGGACTCCGCGCGGCAGGAAGGGCGGGATCGAGCGCCGATCCAAGAATTCAGCACAGACCCCCAAAAGTGCATGCTTGCGTCGTCTACAGTGGAGGCCCGACCACAAGAAACCATCCACAAGAAACCCAACCCTGAGACCCCAGGACGTCCATTGATTTTTGGTGTGGGAACGTCACGCCTTCCACAGCAAAACTATCGAAACACAAGAAACCCATGGCACCCTGGAGGCAACCAGGGTGTTTCTTGGCATGGGCCCGCACTGTATTTTCCTTCGACCCCAGGACCCATCGACATCGACTCGAGAAATCGGGTCGAATCACTGTGAGGCCCCTGGCAGTCCCGACCCTCTCCCCAGGGCCGGCTGCTCCCTCTGAGCCGTTCTCGTCCTCGGGCCCAGGGAGGGCCCCAGGAGGCAGAAACAAAAAAAAACACGAAACCCACGTCTTAATTTTGCTCAAGACTTTAGACGCCTGGGCGCCCAGCACCTCCGCCCACGCGTCCGCGACGAGGCGCTCCGCGGCCGTCAGCGTGCGGCGCGGCGCGAGCGCGCCGTCGCCCGCCTCCGGCAGCTGCCGCGCCGCGAGCTCCCGCCGGGACACCTTGCCGGTCCCCGTGGTCGGCAGGGACGCTGTGAGCGCGAAGGCCGCGGGGACCATGTGCCGCGGCAGGCGCTCCTCGCACGACAGCCTCATCAGCTCGCACAGCAGGTCGTCCCTCGCGTCCGCGGCCCTCTCGAGCCCCGCGCCGCGCCGCGGGACGCACCACGCGACCAGCCGCGGCCCGGGCGACAGGGCGACGGCGCAGGCGTGCAGGAGGTCCGGCAGGGCACCCATGAGCACCTCCTCGATCTCCCCCAGCTCCACGCGGTTGCCGCGCAACTTCACCATGCCTGGGGAAGCCAAGAGGTACCGAGACCGCGACTCCCTGGACCTCTCCTGGGGTGCGTTCTGACCAGGATTTCGGGGCGAGTCCAGCGGTGGCGACGAGGGCCTCCCAAGAGGCCCAAAGAGGGAAAACGGGCGAAGGGTAGAGGTACGGGTACCTCTTCTTCCTCCGAATGCCGTCGCGGCGGCCCACGAGCGACCAGCCGCCTCCGGGCACGGCGGCGGCGATGTCCCCCGTGCGGAAGCGCCGGCCCTGGCCCGGCCGCTCCAGGAACCTCGCCCGCGTGAGCTCCGGGCGCGCGAGGTACCCCGCGCCGACCTGGGGGCCGGCGATCCAGAGCTCTCCGTGGCCGCCGCCCGGGCCCTCCACGCGCCGATCGGGGTCCGCTCCGTCCCCGGAGGCCAGGAGCAGCTCCGTGCCCGGGAACGCCGCCCGCAGGAGCCGCGGCGAGGACCCCGGCGACAGCGGGGCGGAGGCCTGGTAGACCGTGCACTCCGTGACGCCGTAGACGTTGAGCAGCCGGACGCCCGAGGCGCCGCTGCCGCCGCCAGACCACGCGTCCACCACGCGCTGCGACATCAGCTCGCCCCCGAGCGCCACCACGCCGAGCGCCGGGACGTCTCGCGGGCCCACGCCAGCCACCTCCAGCGTGCCGAACAGCGCCGGGGTGGCCAGGAGGTGCGTCGCCCCAGACTCCCGCAGGCACTGGCCAAGAGCTGAGCCGATCGCGGCGCGCGGCGCCAACGCGACGCAGCCCCCCGCGGCCCACGTGGCGAAGAAGTCGCCGAACGAGGGGTCGAACGTGTGCGCGCTCGCAACGAAGACTATGCTGCTCGAGTCCACCGAGAACACCGAGTTCTTAGCCTCGCAGTACGCGGCCAGATTGCCGTGAGTGCACACGCAACCCTTGGGCCGCCCAGTGCTGCCCGACGTGAAGAAGACGTGCGACACCGCGTCCGCCGCGGGCAGCTCGGCGTCGAGGGCGCTGCTCGGCTGCGAAGCCTCTGGGGGGAAACCAGGCAACTGCCGATACCGCTACCAAGGTGCGACCTGACCAGAATCTCGAGGCGAATCCAGCCGTGGTGACGAGGGCCTCCCACCCTGACCTTCCAGGCGGGCCAAACCATAGAACCAGGACCTCGACATCTACATCCCAGCCGAGGCTCCGAGCAGCCCAGGCAGGTCTCTAGGTCGGGAGGGATCTGCTTTAGGACTCTGGAGAGCTCAGGGCCAGGAGGCTCACGGAGGCGCGAACGAGGGAGGGGCAGCAGCGTCCATCAGTTTACCCGTTCCTCCTCTGAGCCTCCACGCTGCGGAGGCACGCGCTCGAGGGCAGCAGCTCGGGCGCGGTGACGGCGCGGACGCGCTCGCCCAGGGCGGCCCGCAGACCGGCGGCCCGGGGCGCGTCCTCGACCACCACCGCCGACAGCGACGCGTCGTCCGCGAGGTGGTGCAGACGCGCCGGGGGCTCCTCGGGGTCCAGGGGCACCACGGCCGCCGCTGCGAGCAGCACCGCCAGCTCCACCAGCGGCAGCGCCGCCCCCTCCGTCAGCGCCACGCCGACCTTTAGGCGTTTCTGGAACGCTGGGGGCGTTGTCTGTGGGTGCCCGTTTTGACGATCCACGTTTCTGTTCAATGAACTTAGGGCGCCGTGTTTTATTGCACCGACCTTGCAGATGTGCTGCAGCGGATTTCAGCGTGGATTTCTGCGTGGAATTTTGCCCGGAACGGCGAGCGAAAAACGAAATGAATTTCGCGTGGATCTTTGTTTGGTCTTCATTCCTGGCCCAGAAAATCCTCACGAAATTCAAAGCGAAATCCGGAGCGAAATTCTCCAGGACACTCCGGGCTCTTCCTATCGCTTTCCGAACGAAGTCCGCTCTGCGATGCTGGCGCCATGCAATTTAGGGCACCGTGACTGTTCAGTCTTGAGGTCCAGGATCGGCACGTGGCCCACCTGCTCGTTTTCGCTCCGCTTTCGCTGCGTCTCGCGCGGGGTGTCATCGAAGATGCCACAGTGCCGCCTGCCTGACGCCCACCTACGTACTGGGGTGCAGTTCTCAATGCGTTTTGAACATCTTTCCTGGTTGTTCCCAATAACGGTCGTAGCCCCGGGGGGGGGGGATGGGGTCCCAGGTTTATGTTTCTCCCATCGTACTTAAGGACCACATCCCAGAAATAATTTCGAGCACCCGGAAAAGTGTCGAAAGAGTGTCGAAAGAGTGTCGAGACAGTGTCGGACGAGTGTCTCCCAGGGACCGACACGTGAAGACCCTCGAGTTTCGGTCCCCTGTTTGGTGCTCGACTTTCTTTCTGGTGGCCAAGGCTACAATACGTTGGAACACCATAACCCCAGGTGCGGGCATCGCCTGTGCGGGGTGGGGCCCATCGGGTAGGGGGTGCGCTGCGATCGCCATGGTCTGCGTGCGACTGCCAGCCTGTATGGAATGGGCCCAGCCCGCCCCCGCCCCCTCCGCACGATCGTTGCAGTCGACCCGTATACTAAGGACGCGCGATAAGGACGCAAGGGCCTTGGAAGGTCATGTCCACACTTTGCGAGCGGGGCGCGGCCAGCGAAAGCGGCCAAGGATGGGCCGAAAGGGACGGATGCAAGGGCAACCTTGGAGAGTCGCTCATCCTTACTGTGCGGGTTGACTGTGCTGTAACCGGGGAGGCGGGGGGGCTCCCGGATAACGACCGTCACGCGCCAGAGGACCAAGAGCAATACCCTGAGCGACGATCAAAAACGGGTCTTGCGCGAGATGCCATGGCGACCTTACGCGGCGGCTTGCGCGAGCCACTGGCGCGGCACGTCACATTGGCAACGAGTGCGCTCACGCACAACCTGATGCGGGACGCTTGCGCGCGAATGTCGGCGCAGACGACCTCGATTTCTGTCGTCGCTCCCCCGGCGGAGTCAATCGCCAAAAACGGGACAAAGGCAGCGAGGAGCACGCCCCCCAGCGTCGGGCGTGTCCCCCTACAGGCGGATGATTTGGACAAGACGTAAAAAGCACTGCAAAAATACCATCCAAATGGTCAAACAACAACCAACGAACAGTCCCCAGACTATATTTTGACTATTTCAAAATATTCCTCCTGTAGAGGGACAGGCCCGACGTGAAGCGAGGACGGCACGAGCAGCGCTGAAGCGCGCCGACCCGGTGCCAGCCGCCCTCGCCAGCAGGTGGCCCGAGCAGCTCTCGCAGCCTCCAGGCGGGGGGGGGGCATGAACTGCGAATGAAAAGTAAAGGAAGTTTCCTCCTCCTCCTCCTCCTCCTCCTGCCTCCTCCTCCTTGCCTCCTCCTCCTCCATCCTACCTCCTCCTCTCCCTCCTCCCTCCCTCCTCCTCCTCCTCTACCTCCTCCTCACTCCTCCTCCTCTTCCTCCCTCTTCCTCCTCCTCCTCTCCTCCTCCTCCTCCCCTCCTCCTCCTCCAGCCTCCTCCTCCGCCACCTCCTCCTCGTCCTCGTCCTCCTCCTGCCACCTCCTCCACCCTCCTCCTCCCCTCCTCCTCCTCCTCCCCTCCTGGTCGTATCCTGATCCTCCTCCTCCTCCTCCTCCTCCTCCTCCTCCTCCTCCTCCTCCCCCGGAGCCGGTTCCCCCCACGGAGACGCCCCCAGAAGGCCCAAGGTTGTCTACCTGGCAGGGGCGGACGCCGGCAAAGAAGGTCGGGGGACGAGGTGGAGCTGGACGGCCGACCCGTCCGCAATCCCAACTGCGATGTCTTGCACCGCCGCGCCTCCATCCACCCGACGAGCGACCCACTTGGCCATCCACCCCCTGGATGGCCCAGCTCGCCCCCTCCAAGGGGGGGCAGCAAGCGAGAGAGAGACACCACCACCGCTGCTCCCTCGAGGCCTCGGCCGCGGGGGGGGGGCGGTGCCGACGAGGACTCCTCCGCAGCTGCCCCAGCCGTGGCCAATCACGAGGGCCGCCCAACACAAAGAGGGCGGGAAACACGGCAGAAACATCAACTTCCGACGGCCCGCACGGATGACGGAAAGAGCGAGGTACGAGCGATGACGTTGAGCAGGGGGCGAAGCCCTAATAGGGAGGGGTCCAGGAGAGGGGCGAGGCCCGGGAGCATTGGTCTAATAGCCCGTTTCCCTCTTATTTGTTCGAGTGAAGCGGCTCCCGGGCGGCTCCCTTGGGCAGTTTTTTCTATTTTTGTTCAGGTGAAGCGGCCCAAGGGCCCCAAGACGGCCCAAGAGGGCCCCAAGACGGCCCCAAGAGAGCTTCAGACGGCCGCTAGACGGTCCAAGAGTCTCGAGACGGCCCCAGAGGCCCTCAAGAGGGCCCCCGAGAGGACCTCAGGAGGCCAAACACCGTGATGGCCCTGAGGTTTTTGCAGGTGTTTCGGGTTCTCCCCTTTTCCGTCCCAGAAAGGCCCTAGACGGCCCAAGAGGCCCCACAGATCGTCCCAAGACGCGGGCCCAAGACGGCCCAAGAGGCCCGAGAGATCGTCCCAAGACGGCCCCAGAGGTGCCCCAAAGGAGCCCAAAACGGCCCAAGATGGCCTCCAGACGGCCCAGGAGGGCACCAATGCGGCCAAGAGGGCCCCCAGGGCCCTAGGAGAGCCCAACAGGGACCCAATAGGCTCCCAAGTGGGCCCGAAGAGGAGGAGGAGGGGGAGGAGGAGGGGGAGGAAGAGGAGGAGGAGGAGGAGGAGGAGGAGGAAGAGAGGAGAGGAGGAGGAGAAGGAGGAGGAGGTGGGAGGAGAAGGAGGAGGAACAAGGGCGAGGCCAAGGTATGAGAAGGGAGGTCAGAAGGAGGAGGGGAAGAATAGGAGGAGGAGGAGGAGGAGGAGGAGGAGGAGAAGGAAAGGGAAAGGATGAGGAAGGATGAGGAGGAGGAGGAGAAGGAGGAACGGAGGACGGAGGCTTAGGACGGATGAGGAGGAGGAGGAGGAGAGGAGGATGAGGAGGAGAGGAGGAGAAGAGGAGGAGAGGAGGAGGAGGAGGAAGAGAAGGAGGAGGAGGAGGAGGAGAGGAGGAGAGGGAGCAGGAGATGGAGAGGAGGTGGAGGGAGGAGAAGGAAGGAGGAGAGGAGGAGAGGAGGAGGAGGAAGGAAGGAGGAGGAACAGGAGGTTGGAGAGGAGGTGGAAGGAGGAGGAGGAGGCGAAGGTGAAGGAGGAAGGGTGGGAGGGGGAGGATGGAGGAGGAAAGGAGATTGGATGAAGAGGAGGGAGCGAGGGAGGAGGAAGACAGAGGAGGAGGAGAAATAGGAGGAGAAAAAGGCGGTAACAGGACGAAGGACCGCGGAAGCGGGATGCTGTCTTCGTCGTGCGTCGTGTCTGCTGAGGGCGGAGAGCGGCTGGCGATTCTGCTTATGCTTCCTTCGGCTCCGGCTCCTTGCTTCACTTCGTCCCTTCGTCTTGGGCCCCTTCTCGCTGTCCGCGGCGTCCTTGAGATTCTCTCCATTCTCTAATTGCTTCGAGTCCTTCTTTGCCTCCTCGCCTCCCTTCGTTCTTCTTATTGTTTAGCTTTTTTGTTTTCTGTTTTTCTGTGTGTGTTGGGTTTTTTGTGGGTTTTCTTTTGTGTTTCTCTTCTTTTTGTTTGTTGCGTCTCCACCTTCTCCTCATCCGTCTTCACACCCAGGCTCCCAAGCGCGAAGGTGACGAACAAACTCGTCACATCAAGGCTGCCAAGAGCGAGCGGCAACGTAAACATCTCTGAACACCAGGGCTCCCAACAGAGTGTGGTGACGTAACAAGCTCTTCCCACCAAGGCTCCCAAGAGCGAACGGTGACGTGACAAACTCGTGCACACCAAGGCTCCCAAGAGCGAACGATAATGTACACAACTCTCAACACCAAGGTTCCCAAGAGCGAGCGGCAACGTCAAAGTCTCGGAACACCAAGGCTCCCAAGAGCGAGCGGTGACGTCACAAACTCTTACCACCAAGGCTCCCAAGAGCAAAGGGTGCCATGAGCCCTCTCGGGCAGGTGACTGCAACGCTCTTTCCGTCCCCGTGCCGGCCCAGGTCTCATGGATCTGTGCTGGACCCCCTCCCAGGCGCGCGGAGCTGGCCAGGGGGCGGCGCCGGGGGCGCCGCCAGGGAGGCCCAGGCGCCGACCCGAGAAATCCGCGCGGAGCGCCGAACGATTGTGTTGATGCGGGCTTTACTCGAGCCCGGGGCCCGGGAGGCCCTTCAGAAAGGGAGAGAACGAGGGAAGGGCAGCGGCATCGGTGTGCGAGCGCG